GCAAGATGTAATCTCACTATGAGAAAACTGGAACGCCACCCTGAAGTAATGCGAAAGCGGTTCCAGTTGGGCGACGGTTCCTTAGTTGAGAGTTTCTTAGTGACCAGCAAGTGCGACATACCATTGATGCGACGACACAATTTTTCTACTCCTCACCCGCGAAAAAAACTATTCCAAATAAGGCCATCAGTTTAAAACAGAAATAAAACATATTTTTAGTGATCGAGCTCTGTTTCATATATGTAAGTGTGTGTCCTTTAGTGCCTTAAATCATGATCACCGAATAAAACAATTTTTCCTTCTTTATTTTTATTCCCTTCTAGAGAGTCACACTCACTTTTGTTTTAGCAAAAGGATGAGTTTTCACTCAAAAAAATAAAAAAATAAAAATCTCATATATCCTCGCAACTTTTCCGCTGAGATTATTTGACTTTTCGCTGTGGTTAGTTGAACGAATGACTGAGCGGTTGTATGAATTTGATGGATTACCAAATTTTTCACCGCTTCAATGACATTAACTGCCATTAAATTTATTTCACTAGGAAGAGCACACACTTTATTTACTACATATATATGTATGTTTATATATTAAGTTTTTCACAGACAAAGTCTACATATAAATATATGACATAAACCGGAAGTGAAACAGTTGAGGAAACAGCAACACTAGCTAACGCAAGCGGAAGCTCATAAAAGTCATCATCATATTCATATATTCTTATATGTAGGTATGTACGTGTATGTAGATGTGTGGCTGTAATGAAATGTGAGTAGAAGCGGAAAAAATTTGGTTGAAGGATGAATAACCGTGCCAGATGATTGATGACACCCAAAAAAAAAAAAAAAAACAAATAAAAAGGAGAAGTTTATTATGTATGAGCTGCCGAGTTTTCCGCACTCACAATTCTTGAAAAAAAGAATGTGTTGAATGCGAGTAGAAGGATACTCTGTGCACACATACATACATATATTATTTTCCGCTAACTTATGTGGCTTTAGTAAATAGTAGTTATGAATTGTATTATATCGCCTTATTAAGTATTCAAATTGGCCGGTTAATATGACAGCGAGAAGCTGTTTTAAATATTAATAAATGTATGGGTGAGTCACAGAGTGACTGAGTGGCTGAGGATAATGAGGACGAAAGGTCGTAATGGATAAAGCGGTTAGCGTAAATAAATGGGTGTGGCGTTTAAAAAATAAATATTATACATACATATTTGGAGGGGAATATTTAATTAACTACTCATTTTTTTTTAATGAATGGTGTAAGAAATTTCGATGAAAAGTTTAGTAGCACAACTTTTGAGTTTTTTTTTTATTTGATTTATTTATAATTTATACGTTTGGGCTCATGTTATTTAATTTAAATTTAATTTAAATTTCTTTTAAATTATTAAAATGTGTTTTATTCACTTTATTTAATTTAAATTTCTTTTAAATTATTTTAATCTGTTTTTTCTTTTTATTTAATTTATATTTTTTAAAATTATTTTACTTTGATCTGTATATTTAAATTTATTTTATATATTTGAGTTCATTTTATTTAATTTAATTTTTTTATTAAATTTACTTTGATCCGTATATTTAATTATATTTTATTTTATACATTTGAGTTCATGTTATTTCATTAAAATTTAATTTAAATTTCTTTTCAATTATTAAAATGTGTTTTTTCACTTTATTTAATTTAAATTTCTTTTAAATTATTTTAATCTGTTTTTTTCTTTTTATTTAATTTATATTTTTTAAAATTATTTTACTTTGATCTGTATATTTAAATTTATTTCATTTAATTATATTTTATTTTATATATTTTAGCTCATTTTATTTAATTAAAATTTTTATTTTTATTTTATTTTATTTTGATCTGTATATTTTCATTTTATTTTATTGATTTATGTGATTTTATTTTTTAATTTGTTTTATTTGAACTTATTCCATTTAATTTAATTATTTTATTTTTTATTTATTTTATAGTACATGGTGCGCCGTCTATATGTGGCCAATGTCCCTTGTTTTGTTTGTTTAATTATTTATTTTACTTAATGTAATTTTATTTCGTATATTTTTCTTTTATTCCATTTCACGACTTCTAAAATTTTTACATTTGCTTTAAGATTTCTACTTCCTTAACTTCTCACGCTTATTAAGTAGCAATAGGAGTGCCAGACGTCTCACAGCTTGCACACCGCCCTTCTGTCTGCTAAATTTAAACTTATTCATCACAGCTTACCAAACACTAACTCACCTTTGGCTCCCCCGCGGTGTGAGTGTGTGAAATGTAGTGAACTTAATGCCAATTGTCCCGTGCTGACAGCCGCTGACAAGCGCATTCCGCTTCAAAGAAGCTCGCTCGCTCGCTCTGAGCGAATACGGTAAACACGTTAAGTAAACTGCAACCAATGCTATTCAAATAGGAAGCTGTGTAATACCTAAGTTTCTTCAAAATTTCATTTTATGTTTGTTGTTTTTTTTTTATTCTGCTAGCGGTTAAGTAATACAAACAAAGCCTGGCAATGATGCCACATTTTCTTAAGCTCAATGCGCGCTCTGTCGAAAATGATTTAATTTTTTAACTTACAAACAATTCAATTCTTTTTTATACTCACAAGAAGCACAGATGGACTCCTTTTGTGGGATGTGCGCTATGTTGGACTGCGCGCTGTTTAACTGGTTTTTGCATTGTTCGCGGACGTCTTTCAATCACAGTGTAATGCGCACATTGCGCACACACATACATACACGCAGATATATTTATATATATATATATATATATATATATGTAAGTGCCTTTGCGTTTCCTTTATGCGCTTAAACAAATTCATTATGTCAGTTCCAATCCTCAAGACTTCAACTTGCATCTCCATCTTCGCAACGGCTGCCTGCTGTCGCTCCACTTACTCGTAGCTGCATTGCTCCGCAGGATGACTAGCTGTTTGAGTGTTTGCGGCGTGTTTGCTTTGTGCTATGCGGTTTGCGCTGGACAACTCAACCTTTTTGAGTTGAATTTAATGTTTTTTTCACACTGTGTGCGTGTGTGTGTTGGTGATATGCCCTTATTCTTTTGGTTTTGGCAGTTCGTTGATCGTCTCTTCCTGTGCTCCTTTATTTAAGTTTTATAAAGTTTTTTTCGTCTTTTTAGCGTTCCATTTTTTTTTTTTTGGAAGGAAATTTTTATATTGTTTGTGCGCGCCTCGCTTTGTTCGACTATTTATTTTTCGGTGATTTACTTTAAAGCCTTTCGCTTTGTTCCTGCTCAAATAAAGAGAGTAAGAAGAAGAAGAAAAAAATGGTACTAATAATTCAAACAAAGCAATGGTTATGGCTATTCTTTGATTCTTTTCTTAAATCATTTTTATTATTTTGATTTTTTTCTTTTTCTGTTTCTTTATTCTGTTGGGTTTCTTCCATTTGACTGGCATGCTTCTTTGAGTGATTTGATTTGTTTCCTTATAAGAAAATCTTTCAGTTTTACTTTCGCGCTTTATTTGTTTAGACATTTTCGTATTTTAGTCGTTCATTGTTCCCGTTGGAGGTTGGTGTTGAGAAAAGTACGCCCGCTTTGACTCTACCAGGGCTAGGATGTTGTAATGATGAGAAATTTATGTAGAGAAAGGATGTGAGCGTAAATATGAATAGCAATTGGCATAGCGAGAGAAAGACCATAAAGGATTATTTTCAAATTTCGACAAGAGTTTTTAGTCAAACAAATAATGAATTTTTATGAATAGCTTTTCATTTTAGGTTAGAAAGACACTCGAAAGACTCTCGAAGCGTTTGACATTCCCTATAGAGAGCCACCGAATTGAGTGCATTTTGGATATTGACCCTGCAATGTTACGAAGGAACTCCCCGTGAAAGGTATATTAACTACAATAAAGGTTAAAGCCTTCATACCCAACGGATTTAATATCTCAAACGTATTTAGTTATTGTTATTTAGAAGAGCCTCGGACTTTAGCATCCTCCACCTTGGAAACGTTAGCAATACCCGTTCGAGATGTTGCAACCAAACCGTGTAGAGCCTTGGGTTGCGGCTAAAAGAGAGTGAGAGAGAGTTTTAGTGGAGCCACTACAACATATCCCGTTTAAAAGATCATTAAAGAAATCTGCAGTATCCATCTGTTCATCAAAAGCACAGCTGTAAGCGAGTGTCGGGCTAGCAGCGAGGGGATCGCTCAATAAATGTGCCTGAAATCTAAGTCTTTTGGCAAAGAAACTGCAGCCTTGGATGAGAGATAATCAGCGAACTGAGGACTTGACATTTCCTGCTGAGGGCCGACCGCCATAAGGAAAAGTAACTTTATTTTGCTATTTAAAATAATTTTCTATTATTTTTGGATGTTGATCTCGACCAAGACTCGAACCCTGGCCTTCCCAAGGTCCCTTGAAACATCCGGACCCTCGCAAATCAAGGTCTGTTTACTGTTTTCTTCGATTTTCGTGTTGTGGTGCACTGTGAACTATTTCCGCCCGGTCAAATGGTAAATAAGGAATATTATTTAAGAGCGAAGTACCTCGGAAAAAGAAAGACCAGAATAATGGGCCAACAATTATTGGTTTTTTCATCACGATAATGCACCGTCGCATAAAGCACTCATTCTTCGTGAACTTTTCGCTAAAACTTCTACGAATATCGTTCCCCAAACACCGTGTTCGCCGGACTTAGGACCATGCGACTGCGAGCTCTTCCAAAAACTCAAGAGACCACTTCGAAGACACCCTTTTAAATCAATTGAGGCGATTAAACGTGAATTGGCGTGCTCTCTGAAGGCCATACCAGAACGTGACCATTTGACCTGCTTCGATAATTGGAAAAAGCGTTCGCATAAATGCATTGCATTGGCAGGGTAGTCTTTTGTAGACGACGAAATCGATGTAGAGAAATAAATAAAGATTTTTAATTTTACAAATAAATTCATCTTACTTTTTGCCCACTTTACTATATATGCAAGACTCCTTAAAGAGACGACTTAAATAAAACTTTACTTCGTCCGTACATTTATTTTTAAAATCGATATTTTTTTCAAACGTGCAACCGATTACTTGTTTCCTTATTCTTCTTTGGTTAAAGGTGAATAAAAAAAATTATCAAATGTCTGTATGTATATATGTATGCGTTCTTTAAAAGTACACATTTTAAACAATTAATGACACTTGTATTTATGTTAATTCTCCACGTACACTTCCCTTGCGCAATCTCAGCTAAAACCAATCGGATATCATTTCCAGTATTCCATGGGGACACCAGCGCGCATAACGCTCGCAATCACCACTGTGTCCATGCGACTCCGCAGCGTAAATGTCAACATTTTGTAGAGCATGCTCATGCTCAAGCGCCGAGGTCGTTGGCCTATGAGAAAAATAAAGAAGAAAAAAAAAAATAGCAATAACAACAACCAAATGAAATGCATGCCAAATGAGTAATCATTAAAACGGTTGGAAAACAATAGCAAAGTGTCTGAGCATATGGTTGTATGCACGAATGTACGTGTTGTTGAGAATATCCTTATCACCACATACAGGCATTCACCTAACATATGTACATATGTAAATGGTTGTTTGTGCAACTCACATGAATAGTATTTTGAAAATGCTGCCGAGCAGTCCATTATGCTCATCCAAATTGGAAGCGGACACATCGCAAATTGTCCTCAACAGACAGCCTGTCCCATTCATTTCATAATAATCCAGATAACCAACAATGCTGCGATAGAATGCGTTGCGTGTGTACATCTGTGCGACGCTACGACGGCGACGGCGATTATTAATTGGCGTCACATCATTGCCGATGCCAACATCCTCTTTGTCCAAGTTCCACTGTGAAAAAAGTTATTAAAATATGGATACTTTCTTTTTGGTTTAGAAAAATATTCTTCAACTACTCACCCTGTCGATCCAGTAGTAATATGAATCATTTGGTGGCAGTCCATAGTTGGATTCAAAATTGAAAGCCATAAAAACATTTTTCTGCGGTAAATCGAGTGGCATGGCCACAGCAGCCAAGTACTGTTAAGTTGAGTGTGTAAGAAGAAATGAATTCCATATAATTTTGATACAGGAAAGAGATACTTACACCCTGTGAACCGCCTCTAGGAAATGCCACAATGCACTCTGCCACTTTCCTGACGCTTAACGCTGCTAAGCTGAGTATAAAGAGATGGCTCCATAGTTCTTTACTGTTGGAAAATAACATATTTTTTCGGATTTTAAGATTTGTTTTCAAGTTATTGTGTTTTGGACTGTTAATATGCAACTGAAATGAAGCTTTCTTCAACATCTAATCGATGGATTTGCAGAGAGTGCAAGAGATTTGTGGAAATACAGGGTGGGTGGCAAGGTATTGGGAGCAGCAATTTCAGTTGAAAAATATTTAAAAATATTATTTAATGCTCTTCTCAACGAGTTTATTCAAGCTCAGCGTTTTCGAGTGGATGAAAGGTTTTTGTAGAGAGTCTAGAAAGGAACTACATATGTTATGTAGCCAGTACTGCATCCTAAAACTCTTTCCACTTACCAGAGAGTGAGATAAAATAAATACCCAAATATATTTCAAAATTGTTTTTGCCTCTTTTAAGTTTGCTGAAGTAAGGCTAAGTACGAACCTCCTGAACTAACATACACCTCTCAGTCTCCCCATAGCGGTTTCTCTTTTCGTCTCTCTTTAGCAAAATTGAGACCACTGGCGTTAGCATTGATATGAAGGAAGTCTTAAGCATTGAGAAAAAGTGTTGAGTTGATTGTATTTTCAAAATTTTTCACATATATAATTGTCGCTTTGTAACCGCTGAAGCGATTTTTGGCCGAGCTCTTCCCCCAGTTTGAGGTTTTGAGTCTTGATGTTTTTCCAACAATTTTAGTGCCCTCTCTAAAAAACCAAGAACGCTACTTATATATATAGGCACTTCAAAACAGATTAATACTGCAAATGGTTCGAAAATTGACATACGAACTTTCATTGGAGTTACCACACACGAATTCCTTCTGAAAAGAGCTTTGATAAAAATAAAATTAAATCTCTTGACCTTCTCTCAGCGCAATAAACATACATTTGCTCCCTGATACACCCTGTTCAAGTAAATATTTTGTATCTTATCGTGCCTTCTTAGTGTCTTTAGCGTCTTATTAGTGTACTCGTACTTAGGCTTTTTGCTTTCTATTATTTCAGTTGGAATTTAGTAGAGCAAACAAAGACACGGCAAATATTGTAGTAGAACTTTCCTTCGTACAATGTAACGCAAACGAAAGTATACCCAGTGACGCTAAATTTTAGCAACACCTAGAGCATGGAGCCCAACAGGAGCAAACACACCCGTTAAATCTAAGCAAATTAAAAATCAGCAGCAAAAGTAATGGTGTCAGTTTACTACACCCGATCTCAAAGCGTAGCTGCTATTCCACTGGAGAAGGGTCAGACGGTAACTGCAAAGTGTTACACCGAAGAGTGGTTCACAAAAGTTTTAAAAGATTTGTTTGAAAACAAAAAGAAAGAGGATTTGCGGCGCTACTTTTTACATCATGACGACGCGCCTTCCCACACTGCTGAAATAACGAGTAATTTTATTGCGATCGAAGAAATACGTCCAGCACCATATTACCCGGACACAGCACCTTGTGATTTCCAAGAATTAAAAAAAATTTAAAAGCAACGGTTTTTAATAGCAACGAGGACATAATTAATGCGGTTAATGCTGAACTAGGTAAATTCAAAAAACAAGATTTTGAAAACTGTTTTCAGACGTGGATCTGTAGGCTTAAAAAATGCATTGAAATCAATGGCGATTATTTAGAGAGATACGGTAAAAAGGACGAAGATTACTAATGAATACAAAAAGAATTTTAGTTCTTTTTCTAATCCTCTCGTATATTGACTGTAACATTATGGTCGGCCTCATTTTTGAGAAAATATGGACCAATAATATCCTTATAGCCTATAAAGCTCAGTAAACAGTGACTTTTTAAGGGTGTAAAGGTGGCCCAACAATGGTGTTACAGCAAATGCGAGAAAATTGTCTATTAAGGAACCCATTCAACCAGAGGTGAGCTTCGTCGCTGAACAAAATATTTTCTTATGAAACTCGGAATCGGTGACGTGCGAAGCGCTTGATGGTCGTTCGATTTCTAGTCTTAAAGTGCCAAATTAATGCTCAGTTTAAATCAGTAATTGTCGAAAAGATTAGTCTCCGGAAAATGCTTTACTAAGCACTCCTACCACAACTGGTCCACATCGCACTCGTTGGGAGGTGGGTCACAAGGTATGAACGAAGAACTTGAACGTTCTTAAGCTTCTACGTTGTTGTTTACTCGTACATATATACATATTCGTGTATCTATATGAGCACTCAGCAGCTGCAAAATTAGAAGCTACACAAGGAACTATCTGCTATCTACCGAACGACATCGTCAACGCAGTGCTAATTACACAAACATGCAAGGCGTGTGCTAAGCAACTTTTAATTTTCATTAGTTCATCACTAGTTTCAACACAACAACAATATCAACGACAACAAAGTGTAGCCAACAAATAGTGCTAGGGTTCTATATACTACATACTCGTATACATGTATATGCGTTTGTATGCCAATTTGTGTGTAGTAAAAGCGTTAGAAGTAGGTCAACAACTTTTTTAGCGTGGTCATATTGGTTATTGGCCGCTTTGCTTTCCGGCTTAGAGATTGCTTTTGCTGCTGTGGCTGTGGCTCTGGCTGCGGCTGCGGCTGCGGCACCGGCTGCGTTTGTGTTTGTCGATTTTGTTGTTCTTGTGGCTATGGTACAACGTTTTATTGGCATTTTCGAGGTTATTACCACTTTGATTGCTGCGAAGTTGCACATTCCACGTCGAGTAGTGTGCGCATGGTTATTAGTAGCGGCATCGCGCGTTACGGCAATTCCAAATACACCGAGTTCGAGCAATGAATTTCCGAATTTATTTACTATTTCTTGCAATATTTACCACAATACAACCGCAGCGCTGTCAATTGGACGCGATTGCTAAGCGGCAAAAGCGTTGGGTGCCAGTTTTGTTATTTCCACCGACCAGTCCGACGCGGGTGCAGGTAATTGAAATGGGTGGAGAAGAAAGCAAGAGATTTTCTCATTAAAAAATAAAAACAAAATTCACAACAACTACTCTCTCCACTAGTGGATTGTTGGCATTGGTATACCATTAGAGGATTTGCTCTATGAAGCAATGACCACCGGTTACGTTTTGAAGGCGGAGTATTTTCTAGCCGATAACGTGACGAAACTCTACACCATCACACAAATGCCATTTACGGCGCGTCAAATGTCTGCAAGGAAATTAACGAAATTTGAGCGGTTTCTAGCGAAAGCTGACGAATGGAAGCGTTATTCCGCTTGGGAGCGGCATCTGCAGGAGAATCGACGTGTGTTGTCCAGCTATAGATGGTCTATATATAAAGTTTTAGAGGGTTTAGCGGAGCGGTGAGTTGGTGATACACATACCTACTATGTATTGGATGAGTGCATAAGTTCGTGCCCGATTCCGCTGGATGCCGTTCGAATCATTTGAGAGTGGCGCTCGTGAAAGAAATATATACATATTATATATCGTTGGAAAGGTGACAGTCCGAACTGTAAATCAAGCATGATAGTAACTTAATTTTGATTTGAGTTGCTTGGTGAAAAGACGCATGGAAGAAATCGGGCACGTACTTATGCACTCATCCAATATGTTTGTTCTGCTAATGCTAAGCCCCTCTATCCACTTAGCCTAGCGCCCTCGGGTCGCGCTTGTGTGCTGAAAAGCATCTGCGAGGCAGCGGAGACATCATTTCACTATCACAATGGCTTGTTCGGCGAATTGTTGCACATATTACTGTCGTAAGTGTTCGTTTTTGTTGCCTTTTGTCTTTGACTTCCGTCCAATTGTTTTCTTTAAAATTCTTATTATCTCTCCTCACAGTCCCTCTTCTTCCGTTGACGTTTTATCGGAGCATGCAGATAATGAGTACTTTTACGCTGAGTCTATGGGTCGCTCTGGTGCGGACTGTAATTTGGTATTTAAGGATTGCAAGAAATCGTTGTTGGAACATTTTTCGAATGTACGTACTTTGCAAGAGATGTTGGCTAAGCAATTTGGTTAAGTTGAAGTTGTGAACTTGATTTGAAAAGAAATATATGACTGCATCTGTCAAGGGGTAATTATTGTTCAAAAAGTAACATCGAGTATTTCAGAGTCTTACTTAATTACTTTACTGGCGTGGACATCGCTAACGCGAATTTAGCAGAATTTATAACAATGCGTCATTCAAGTAGAGCCAGGACCTTCTCTACCTGGTTTTTTCAACGGAATAGAGGTCTGCCTCTTCCTGTCATTCCACCGGCGTGTACTGCATCGAAAACTTTCAAAGCTGTAGAATTCTTATCCATCCGAACCACACGACCTAGCCATTGTAGCCGCTGTTTATTGATTTCCTTAACTATGTCTAAGTCATCAATCCATCGGCTGTGGTATTCGCCCTTACCAACTTGTAGAGCATCATAAATCTTTCTCTCGAAGATTCCTAACGTCGACTCATCAGATATTGTGATCGTCTATGCCTATGCCTCCACACTATACAGCAGAACGGGACGGTAGAGGACTTTCCTCTTCAATTGCCTACTCGGTCCGAAGTAGCACATGTTGGCAAGAGTGAGTCTGCGTTGGATTTCCAGCCTGAAATTGTTGGTGGTGTTAATACTGGTTCCAAGACAGGCGAAATTATCTACGACCTCGAAGTTGTGACTGTCAATAGTAACCGAGAGCCAAGTCACGGACACGATGACTGTTTTTGTGTTGACAGAAGATGATTCGTTTTGCTCTCGTTCACTGCCAGATTCATATCCTTCTCTTCCTTATCCAGCCTGGAGAAAACAGAACTCACGGCAAGGTTGTTGGGGCCGATAATGTGAATATCATCGGCGTACGCCATCAGCTGTATACGCCCTAATAGAAAATTTTACCTTCTCTATTCAGCTCTGCTGCTCGTATTATTTTCTTCAGCAAACACCCTGTCTGAATCCTCGTTTGATATCGAACGGCTTGAATAGGCCCTTCCCGATCGTGACGGAGCTTTTAATGTTATGTTGCTTAAGGTCAGCTTACACAGTAGTTAGTTTGGAAAGATAAGTAGCTAGTTGGAGGATTTTTCATTGGGCGTAAGGTTATGAATCACGTACGAGGAGCTTCTTGCGCCCTCACTTACAACGATATTAGTTTGAGATAAGATACTAAAACTTAGTATTAACTTAATATCTAATCAAAGATGATTCCTTTTTTTTTTAAAAGATCTACTAAATTGATTAAGGTATCTATAGTACCCGTAAGTAGATAGTTCTACCAAAAAGATGATGTTGTACTCTGACTTTCAGTTTTTAATTGGCTTAAAATTTTTTTCCAGTTCGATTTGGAAGCAATCTCTTCATCATTTCTTGAGCAAGCTCATAGTTTCCTTTTTTTTTAAACAATCCAAGACGCCGAAGAAGTGAAAATTTTTGGAAAAAAACTCGCCTATGGATTCATGACAACTACGTGTACGTGTACCAAACTAATTGCCAGATTGTCATTAGGAAGGCCAGGGTTCAAGACCTGGTCTGACTAGTATCCAGAAGTTATAGAAACTTAACATAAAAGAGATTATTCTCACCTTTCTAGATGCCGAAACCACTTGGTTTGGTTTAATGAAATACACAAAACTTTTAACACTTCCGGATGCTAAATCTTCAAGGCAGTCGAAGTCGAGGCTACCTAGAAAACGATCTCGGACTGCACTTTGGGCGGGGCAGAGGCAAACTTAGTGCTTCACTACGACATCTCCTCGTCTACGTCTCTGCAGCCGCAACAAAAGTTATTATAAGAGTTTAATTTTATCTTCTCTTAGAACAACATTTTTATTCCAACCGACTTCCATATACTCTGCTCCCAAATAATTCATTAGGAAAGCTTTTCAACCATCCAATCAAGTAATTATAGTCGGATTTCCTAACAAATTAACACACAGAAAAGTTAGAAATCCATAGATAAATATATACGCTCATGGCATAATTGCACAATCCAGTGCATAACTAACGGTGCAAGAAAGCAGGAGTTATAATTACAGGCTACAAAGGTACAAAATATGACTGCGCGACTACTCAGAGATAGAAATTTCACCCACATTTTCAGAAATTCGTATTTATCTATAATTATAACTACAAATATTTCATATATATATGTATGTATATGTACTTAGATTTCCAATGAAATGCAAGCGACATTCCCTATTTATATATGTATATGTATGTATATGTAGTATCTACAAGTAACTCTGGGCGTCTTTTATAGTTGTTTTCATGTCATTTTTTGATTTTATTGCGTAAAATTTATGCAAATTGCAAGTTAATAACTCTTTTTACCCAACACTCTTGGTGGTCTTATCACCGCATAACCATCAAAAAGTACCGAAACGAATAGCTGCAATGCAACACTCACACGCTCTCACACACACATACACGTACACACACACACACATACACGTACACACACACACACAAACAGGCAGCAACACGCTGAGGCGACAAGCGGGTAGCATTCATCAGCCGGCAGCAGGTGAGTTGGCAGTGAGATAGAGGCTTCAAAGTAAGCCCGGGTATGAGGTTATGAGGTTGGGTAAGGAGGGGCGGTTGCATTTCATTAATTATACACTTAAGACACAGTTTGGGCGAATGTCGGTGAGTGAAGTTTGAAAATGTGTCGCGGTGTGTTGCTGAGTAAAGGCGGGATGAGCGCTGCGCTACCAAGTAATGAGAGAATACAATGTGTTTGGTGTAGGGTGTGTGTGTATGTGTGTGTGGGTGTATGTTGAGCGACGTCTTCGTTATAATTAATTTTAATAATTCCGTGTATTATTTAAATGTTGCTTTTATGAGATTCTTTTCGTGTTCATTGTTTTTTTTTTGTTTTTTTTTTTTTTGATTTTTGAGTAAAAAATTTAACTACAAAATGTTTTAAGCAAATACGAATATGAAAATTAATATGCGTGGAAAGTGGGGAAGCACTTAATTGCAGTGAGTACAGTGTTGGTGTAAATTATGCAACAACAATAATAAGTCAAAACTTCAGATGAAAAAAGAAAAATTGTGAAAGCCTGAAAAAGACTTTATCAGCAGTCTGAAATATTTTTCGGTCGTCCTGAAGCACTTTGTCGGACCGCACTACAGAAATTGTTGAAGAAAATGGTGCTGTTGGGACAAGTCATAGTGTGAAGAATAAAACACGTGCACGTCGCTCAAGAATGACTAAGAATAATGCTGCTGTAGCCCAAAGTGTTGAAGAAACCACAGATGTATCCGTCCATTGTCGTTCTTTGGAATTGGACATTCCACAAACGTCAGTCATTACATCGTAAATTTCGCATAAAGTCTTGGGTCTTAATGATTATAAAATTCAATTAACACAAGAATACAAGTCGGCCGATCATGAAAAACGTCGTGTCTATGCTGATTGGGTCCTTGAAATGCATGAAAAAGTTCCGGAATGCCATTAAAAAATCATCTTAACTGATGCGGCCAATGGGCCACCTCGTTGGCTACATCAATACGCAAAACTTTCGCATCTGTAGCTCGGAGACCCCAAGACTTATTGTTGAAAGGAGTCTCCATCTTCAAGGTGTAACTGTTTGGAGCTGTTTATGGTCCCAATAAGAGGCTGGTACAAAATCTACAGTGAATGGATTGCGCTATTGGCTGATATTGTATTCCATCATTAATGGCATATTTTCCTTCTCACATTGAAATAAACTTATGCGAGAGATTAGGAACAAACTATTGCCTCAGAAAAGAATAGGTGACTCTCGAACGAGCTCTTCTCCGATTTAATTAGCTATATTTTACCACCAAATCTGGGGATCAACAGTGTTTTTCGAAGCCGCCTCGGAACGGCTGATGGATTTTCACGAAGCACTCTTTTATTTTATGTCAGAAAGGCACTCTAGGTGGGAGAGGATCCCAATTAAAAAAAATTACGTTGGAAGTTGGTAGATGAGGTAGGGAAAACAAAGCAGCCCCAGCTTATAGGCGAAGATGCTAAGGTGGACCAAGCACCATATGAATATCCGCTTTCCAACTGCCCATTAACGAAAGGTATGAGTCTTCTTGGGTTCCCAAATAGAGGGTTGAGTCTTAATGCAGCTTTAACTAATAAGTAATATAGTTAACCGGAGTGAGTAATCAACGTATATGGACACTATCTCCAAGAACTTTCTCAACGTAACACTACAAGGAGCTCGGCCCTCTTAGACACAAGAACTCTTCAAATTCAAGTTAGCAGATGTTGGGATGCTGGAGGAAATATAAAGGTATACTCGACTACACCTAGGACAGTAATTAAAAAATTTAGAGAGTGAACTATATAGAGTGAAGAATCCCGGCATAGAGTACGTTTCTCCAGATGTCAAAGCAATGGACAAAATACATTAAGAAATCGAGCCATGTCATTCTGGATATAAGTGGGCCATTCAAAAATGTTTCCAATGAAGCAATTATGAATAGTTTGGAAGCAGTCCGAATGGAATGAGAACTTGCGAACGAATACGGACTTTACAAGACGCACGGACACCGCAGTGAAATCCTTCTACGATGAACGTGGTAGAATTGACAATTAAGGAAAGCACTCCCTACTATTTGGGGAGTAATTTTGTACAGAAAGTTGTTGTGTAAGCTAAATCTGGAGGAGAGGGTGAAAAGACCATTAAACCCCTTCAGGCATGAAATAAGATGGTAGTTGCTATGTGGGGACTATCGTCTGGCCTCCTGCCTTGGGTGTAACATCAAGCGATAGTTAAGCCGATCTTGCTCCATGATGCTTTAGCGTAGTGAGCCGCGCCTAACCAAAATTTCACATAGGATTTCTTTGGAGCGATTATAGTGGCTCTTTGCCCTCGGCATAATGAGCACACTAAAAACTACTCGAACCCCTGCATTAGACAAGTGAATTGTAGCGAAATCTGCTGTGAGTTTAGTGGCGTTGGGTGAACTTCTCGCTAGAATTTTCCGGCATAGGCTAATCTGGGAAATAGGGTTTCAAGCCCCATCAAAAGAAGGTGGATGTCGTAAGAGCATGGGAAGCACTAGTGGAAGTTGCAACAACTACACGAAAGAATCGAAAGAAGCTAGG